AGCCAGTCTACCTGTGATATATAATACACTAAATTCTGACAAATTTCACACTGGTATGCCCCATCTTCCCTGGTAGATTACCCACAGATGAAAAAAAAAAAATAAACACGGGAGACCCGTTTGAAAAATCTGATAGTCCACGTTTAAAACACACTGTGACAAAAATGAAAGTCTTAATTGATTAATGATCTCAAGGTCTCTATCGCCATCTAGTGAAAGCTCACTACCATTACTACACTCTCCACATAAATTGCACCGCGTTCACTGGAACAGCACATGCCAACCTCTCTGCTGGATCCAGCCTACGTATGGCCAGAGCTACATAAAGCTTCACTACATTTCTACTTCATGTCTTAAGGTAAATAAAGGTCAAGTACTAGCTTATATCTCACTAAGGCTGACTGAAGAGAACTGAGGTCTTATGGATTATATTCTGTCCTAGTACTATGATCTGGCTTTACAAATGACCTTTCCACATCCTATTTAATACTTCTGCCATCAAAATGAAGCAAACGTGTCAAACACTAGCATAGTTATAAACAACTTTTTAAAATGTCAATGTGCAATTACAAGAAGTTTTAGTCAACATAAGGAACCCCATGGCAGCTCCACTACTTTTAGTGCATTGGCACTGTCAAACCACAAAGAGAAGTTACAGTCCAGGAGAGGTAGTACAAAGCACTTCGCATGAGACACCTGCAGTACAAAGTCTTCCTACAGCTTCAGTGAAAGGGTCTTCAGTCACACAATTAGAAAGCAGCAATTTATGGAAGTCATCAAAACTCATTCTCTCTCGGCTACATTAAAACTTAATCCTACGATAAGCTTGAAGAACTTCTTCAACCTGAAATATGTATCTCCCACTTTCAATTATTCTGCTAAGACTTACGATTGAACTGTAATTGTGTTAGTGCAAATATTAAGTTCAGTTTTCATTTCACACAGTATTTTTCCCACTTAGACATCTACAAGCCTATCTGCATTTACACAGGTTCCCTCCACAACAGTAAAAAAAAAAGTTATTCCTGATCATTAGAAAAGGCCATTTAAATTTAGACCAATAACATTTTTCCATAATAGTTACTTCTTTAATTAACCTTTTCGTATACAGAACCCAAAACTCCTGATACTTAACATTCACCTCTTTTATATTAGCATTTAGTGGTAAGATGGGAAACCTATGAATAGAAAGACTAATATAAGATTTTAAAGTAGTATTTTTCCATATTTTCAACTATTTCAACTTAAAAAAACCCAGGTGTCTCTTGCACCATCTTTTATGGCAAAAACTACTGCTCAAGAAATAAGGAACTAATAAAGCTGTATCTGTTTATTGACTACTTACATAAAAATGCAAGTTTTCAGAACAGAACATATACAATGTATTTCATCAGAATCTATCATACTTACACAGAAGCACAAAATTACAGATCCTGAAAAATTCTCGAATTTTCAAAAGTCTGTTATCTCCACAGTATCCACAGAAATGAACACTACCTACCTCAAAGAATGGGGAAAAAACATAGCTTTAGCTCTACACGAGGTGCTGTACTGCACAGAAGAGACCTACCAAGACAGTAATGGCCCACCGAGCTCGGCACTAGTGCTGCCAGATGCAAACCAGCTCCCGCAGACTTCCATTGGCATCTCCACTGGCTGCTCCCAGCAGCCCCATTTCGTACAGGAACTTTTAGACCTGCACTGGGTACAACACACTTTCAGGCAACATTCTGCCACACTATTATTTTCCCCAAACTCAGAGCAACTATAAAACTGGAGATACAAATGTACACAAAGGCTTAGCAGAAGCAAGCCCAGGTCTAGCACCACCAGAATTTAAGAGGCAAGAAATCCTTTCCAACCAAAAATCAACTATGTAAGAGAGAGTCCCGAAGCGCTCCCTAACACATCCTGTACCACATATTTAGGGTTTTCCCATTCCACCATCGCTTTGGAACATAATGCAGGAATACGGCAGTTACATGCACCATTATCTCGTAACTGTTAAGTCACAGACAATTGAGAATAAACTATATGCACAAACAAAAAGTATTTTCCTCCCTTAACAGAGTCCAAAGCTCAAGTATCCATACAATAGCCAGTTTGTGACAGGTGCTCCATATGACTAACAGAGATCATAAAAAAACAAAAAGGTTAAATTCATGACTTGTAAAACACTGCTAGAAAATATAAAGCTATGATACTCAGCTGCTTTTCATGACAACCTTGTAGATAAATATATCAGAATCTTAAAACAAGAAAAAAAGTCATCACTTCCTTAAAGGAAACACTAACTTTCTAATTCACATGGCTGCATAATGCATTTACAGTTATTAAACCTGGAAATTATTTCCTAGTTAAACATGTGTAAGGTTAAACATACTGGTTACATAAATTTGGAGGACAGCAAACGTGGGGTTGTCTCTAGAGAACTGTTTAGATAGGAACAAAGATTTGTTATCAGAAACAAAATGCCCCTATGCATATCAGCTGGAGGTTGTACAGGGACCTTCACTGCATTAGGTAGTCCACAGCAAGGAGAGCTGTGCCCTCATGTCACCAGGAGCATGTGCCTCTAAACACAGATGTGAACTCATCCATCTCCCTGCTCAACTAAAAGGTTGCCCAGCCATCCTGTCACGTCTGTTCCTGGCACCTTTGCAGAACCCTGCTTGGTGGTCTCTTCTGTAAAGAACTAATATGAAGCAGCATGAAAAAATGTGTTTTAATACACTGTGTATCAGTGGTATGTTTCGGACCTTTAACGATTATTTTTCCTGCTGGGACCAAACTGACATGGTCTGCATTCAGCTGTCATCCTGATCAACTGCAAGAGTAGTTTTGCCTATGAAGTTAAGAGCAACTATTAAAATAAAATCTGGTCTCTTGAGGCTAATGCAAAGCTTCATTTTAAGGAACAAACAGTTTCTGAAAATAAGGCCTTGACACATAATCCATTGTCACCATGTGATTAATTAGCCCTGTCACAAACTTTAGGGTTTCAGGAACTCAGCATACCAGGGCACAGGACAGTCTGGCCAAAGAAAAGCTCATCCAAAGCTGAAGCATACCACTGAATAAAAGACTAACCCATCAAGCAGAACTGGAAATTCATGGAAGATGTGAAAGCAGCCTTGATTTTTTTTTTTGTCGCCATAATCTGGTCCACTGAAACTAAGCAGTTTAATTCAAAATAAGGCTCTAGCTAGAGTTTCAACTTGTCACACCTTTTGAGACATTTACCTGATTCCTTTCTAGACACTAGCTTTGGGGTTTTTTGCAGCTTCTGCAGTACAGAAGAGAAAAACTACAATAGGTTCGAAAACAAAACTATTCTCCTCTTCAATGAAAAAGTAGGTGGCTTAAATTCACCCTCTTCACATGTGCCTGTAACCTGTTTAATGACTCACCTCTCTTCCTTTATGCGTCACCAAAGCAGCCAAAGGCTTGGCATAGAATCTGCTGTAGGAAAATCCCAGGCAGCCATACATACTGTTAGCAGTGAGTTTCAAAGCTTTCTGTCTGATATCATACTGAAAAGAAACATAACCAGCAAAAATGATACAACCATAGCCAACAGAGAACAGAACTTAATGTTCACAATTACATTCACAGCTTTTTAGATAGTCTGCAGCAATGATGGGCTACAAGTAAAGCACATTACAATCACTGCTCACTACTAATCATCCCTATTCTGCAAGGCTGATCAGGGCACTTAAGGGGAGTGGAAGGAAAATCAAAGGAGTTCTATAAAACACACCTGTAAATAAAGGTCAGGATTTAAATCTGGCTGTTTCATTAACTGCTTAACTTGGCGCCTTCTCTCCACCAGTTTCCTGATTTCTTTAGGCAAAACTCCCATTTCCAGAGATGGGTCCGGAAGCTCTGGAATTTCTTCCTCTTCTTCGACCTGTCAAATGATCACCACTGCTTATCATTTTTTTTTCTTGAAGATGAGATTTTAATGTGTTAAGTGAAAAGCTTGGAAAAAAAAAGAAAAACAAACCACACAGCTTGTATATATTCCTGCAGTGCACCCAAAGCAGTTTGGAACAACAAGCACGAGAGGGTTTTTTGTGGTATTGAACTATATTACCTAGTCCCCGTTGGGGGACAGGGACTAAGCCTGTCTCTGTCTGGGAGAAACCGAAGAGAGACATGGACCAGTAGTAGGAGGATTTCTTTTTTTTTTTTAAGTGTGTGTGTATTTTTTTAATATATACACATATGTGTGTGTGTGTGTGTATAGATATATAAATCCAGATAAATAGCACACACGCACACACACTCTCACTCTTAGGTATAGATAGAAAGATATAAAAATATAAAGAAAAGCACACACACAAGTGACTCCGTGCTGAAAAAATTCATCCTTTTTTTATTATCACGTAAGTATTTTTGGTGTTCAGAACTGTAAAATGGAGCACATGCTCTGTCAAACTGATACGCTGAGTAAGATAACTGACAAAAAAGAAACTGACAGTAACAACAGAATAAACACTCCACCCCAAGCAACTCTTGATTATAGCAAAACAATCACCTAACAGAAAGCACACATTCTTCTTCTTAGCGTTAACTGAAGACATGGTTGCTCAGCAAAAATGGAAAGAAATTTCAAGCACAATGAGAGACAGAAATACACAAAGAAAGGGCAACAGAGACACTATGAGGTTGGTAAGTTTAGTAAAGCAGTCTGGGAAGAACCATAACAAGAAATGACACCAAAACCTGATTAAATATCATACCGTGATAGAAATCAAAACGAGCTGCTTCAGTTTGAAGCACACTTAAGAAAGCAGGGTAAATCCACAGAGTTTGAAGGAACTTACTGACAGAGTTCCACACACTTTTTTCCTCATTTCTGCTATGCTACTGGTATTTCAGTTGTTACAGGACTAACTATGTCCCATAACTACTTATGCACAACACACTAATTCCAACCTGTGAGCTGATACTAGTTAAAAATAAAAGCCTCAGGTTTAACCTTTAGACCTGACCGGCTCCCTGCTTCAGTTTACAGCACAGCTCCACCACCAACTGTGCCAGCGCAGCTGAGGAAGTGAGAATAAGCAGCCATGGATAAGCCACGGCCAACACAGCTGCTGAGAAAACAGTACGTGGAACTACACCTTTCAGGAGGTTTTTCAGTTGTGTTTAATACAGTTTAATGCTGTATTAAACAGCATGAATTTTCATGAAGCTGGTCCCGCAGCTGACAGTCACAGTATCACTCCCTGACACACACCCCCAAGACACACACATAGTTTTCCTGATGTCTAATAAGGGTTGAGCTCATACTGCATTCTTTCCCCCAGGCAAAAGCATGAGACTTGTGTCTCCCTCATTCAGGTACATTTGCATGAATTCTGTGGTAACTTAACTTTAGGAAGCCTCTACCAAATCAGGATGAAATTGGTCAAGGAGCTCAGAAATTGCTAGGAGGACCTGGGGCTGAAAAGGGCCAACAGAGCCTCACTAAAAATCTTGTTTCATGAGGATACCAAGATTTTATTTAGATAGAGAGAACTTACAAAGATTCTCTAAGAGTATTACTGAAAGGAAGATGACAGACATATAATATTCAAAAAGCCCCAACCCAAAACTTACTATGATGCATCTTTAAAGAAGAATCACTTTTTTTAGGGTGGGGGGGGAACGGGGGGGACATTAAACAGAAAAAAAGAACAGTTTCTTAAAAAGTTGATTCACAGAAAACACACTGAAGTGGAACTTAAGTCACAAGTTAAAGCACACAAACCTCTGCCCTTTTCTGTGCTTCTGATGACAGTCGCTGCACTGTGGTAAAGCAGATGTTAAACTCCTGAATAATTGATGGGTACAAGCTGTTGAAGTCGAGAAGCAAAATAAACTTGTCATAAAAACCTAAAACAGAGTTTAAAACAAAAGTCATAATTACTCAGTCTCCCCAAGGAGTCCATCCAACTCCACAATTAGTATTTAAGCGACAATAACACATTGTACCACAATTCCCTTAAAGTAGCTGTTGAGATGCACCGCTACCCGTTACAGAAAGCTGTCAGAAGTGGAACGATCCAACCCCATTAACTCACCAGAGTTGAACAGATAGCTTCTGTGTTACTATAGGACACTTGTACAGTTTTCCCCACATAGAGGAGAAACTGAAAGAAAACTTACGTGTCCATTAGAAAATTATACACAGATATACAGTCCTAATTCCTCGCAAGACCGTATCTTCTCACAAAAAGGTAAGAAAAAAGGTCCCAAGAATAAGTAACTCCACAACCAATGTTGGGAATTTTCTTGTATGCGATAACTACCCCCCAACCACAAGATACACAGATGGCACTCACTGTAATCTATCTGCATCAATATAACCTACCTGTCTCTAACGTCATAGAAGAAAGAAAATTGCCATATCTTACCGACTTTGGGATCCAAGACTAAGCCCCCAGCATATGCTGCTTTCTTTTTCCCTATCTTTGATTTATTCTGATCTTCAAAATCTTCATCTTCATCCACCTACATTTGGCATTTAAAAAAAGTCATTATCTAGTCTCCAAGATTTCTATACTGTTGGAGGAGTTATTTTTGGCAAATCAAATATGAAATTGGGAGCCAGTGCACAGAGTTCCTTTTAAAATACATGCAAAACATGGTGTTTTCATTATGATCCTTATTAAAGCTCTCTACATGTCAAAATAGCATTCAAACCAACTCCTACAGGAACAAACTGCTAACAAGAGATTACAAAGATCTTAAGGAATTGTCATCATTCAATGTAGCACTAGTATGCATTTTCTGGATGGCTGTAAAAGTCAACACTAGGGAAAAAATCAACGCATGACCCAGAAGAAGTATTATTGCCTAGTTAAAATGTAGGTTTTGGAAATACAATGGCTGGGCTTTAATGAAACAAATAAAAACATTATTACTGACCTAAAGAGTATTTTGCTATTTGTTTTGTTGCAGTAAGAATTTTTCTCCCAGTTGTCCAATGCTACTCTGAATCATTTAAAATTCCAGCACTGCTCTGACGCAACAATACAATCAACACAACTTATTGCTTTGGAATTTGCTGTTGAACTTACTTAAAAGTAAAATTAAAAAGCAAAATATAGTGAAATACAAATCCATTCTCAAATTTTAATTCATTTACTAACAAACATATAGATGTTTCTATAAATTTATTTACACTGGTATTATCCAAAGTAGTTTTTAATACCCTTGGATACTTTACCCACATTCTCAAATCACCCACCTTACAAACTATATTTGAAATACTGTTCATC